CAGGTTCAAGTTGAGGAAAATCGGCATTATGGACACATAAAAGAAGCAAAAAACAATGGAGACAATACCACCAAGGTGATCTCGTACTAGTTTCAGACAAGTCCAAAAGCCAGAAACCTGATGAACAAGAAAGCTACCCAATCAACAGGACAGAAAGATGTGTCGCTCAATCAGATATCACATGCAAATCTTTCGAGTCCCAAAAAATTTCACTAGAACTTTCATTAAGCTATATTATTATCTCCCAGCCAGATACCCAGAAGAAAAATGGAAAAGTTTAATTTAGTTGCAGTGATAATGCCGACTGCAAGTACATTAAGTAATTTCTGGGAGCTCATGCCTTAATTTCGACCTAAGAATAATTTCGATGGCTAATAAACCCTCTTCTCCTGCCTTAACTCCATTACATCACAAAAATTACTTCAGCAATTCGTAATAAGTAGTGCTAAAGGAAGTAGTCAGGAGTTTGGCGAACAGTGTTAGGTTCTTTGCATCTTGGCGCAGGATCAAACTGCAAAAATGAATAAGTTAACTCATCATCTAATTCAACCATCGCCGCTTGGTTTGCACAACGGTAGCAGTAATTTGGCGCGGAAAAAACAGTGACAACATTACGGTCGTGACTCCAATTGTAGCCCTTAAATAAATAGAAAAGTAAGTAGAACAAGGCGGTTTTGCTGTCCCAAAAAATATAATTTTATGGGAATAAGTCAAAGTACCTCCATGACCAATTGATGCGCTCTTGAAATAAGCGTTAAACCGTTAGAATGGTTAAATGTCTCTGATATATCTTGTCCAAATGTGTAGCCTGCGCCACGCGGTGATATTCCCCAGCCGCCCCTGTCGTCAGGATCCGACCAGAGTAAATCACACATTGGTCCTGAAAAAGCAGCCAAAATGAACACTACGGACAATGAATATGAATCTTACGCAGCCGTATTTGATGAGCTCGAGAGAAAAAGTAAAAAGCAGTAACGTATCAGAAGATGCGTAATTACCTTCATGAGGAACCTCTTGTATTCGATCAAGTGACCGAATATGATCCAGGCTGTCAATAGAAGGTGACAGTCCACCATGAAGGCAGAAAATCTGTCCCTCGATGAGAGCAGTTAAAGGCAGATAATCAAAAAGATCAGTGAAATATTTCCACACGTTCGAATTGCCATATTTACGAAGACATTCATCATAAAAACCGTAGACCTGCAGAAATCGCAATTCATCCACAAAATCTGCCTTTTTCACAAATTTCAGCATACAAAATGTGATCTTTTAAAAATACCTGGGTAATTTGCCTAGATTCATGATTACCCCGAAGAATGGTCACACGTTCCTTATACCTCACCTAAAAGACATTTATTTCTAACTGAACACGTGAGATAGATATATATTAAAAGCAAGAAAGTTTCACCTTCAGACATACTAACAAAGTGACAGTCTCCACTGAATGGTACCCTCTATCAACATAGTCTCCCATGAAAAGATAATTCGTGTCCGGGGCTTTACCACCCATTTTAAACAATTCTAGCAGATCATGGAACTGGCCATGGACATCCCCACATACCGTTACAGGGCATTTAACTTCCTGCACATTCGACTCTTTTTGCACAATCTCTTTTGCCTGAAATTTTCAGAGTATTCAGAAATTCTCACTTATGAAAGAAACTGTATTGCAAAGCTGAAAACAGCAACTGCCACTGCGATAAAACTAGTGAAAAGTAATTACCCTGTATTTCCAAACATGACTTTCCCAGTTTGTTTCTAAACGTAAGGAAGTAACTAGGCATAACGAAACTAAAGTGCTGATAAAAAGAAATACACCCTTCTGCAGAACATTTGCTTATCAGTCGATAGTATATTGGTACTACAAGTGACCGGTTAAGTTCCTGTCGCGTAAAGCAGGAAAAAAAACCTGTTCCATCCTACTGTACAAAAATGATATGGATAATACAGACACTTCCTTCGTTCACAAGCCGTTAACCAGACAAAAAAACCTACAACCGCTTCAGTAGCTTTAACACCCCGGTATGCAATATTGAATCATTCAGTAATAACTACACGTAATTATCATTTCTCGGTATTGCTACTAGAAAGAAGCAACAAAACCTTTCTGACTCCGTTCCCCAACGTGAACATAAAACAAAAATTTAATTTAAAAAAAAAAAAAAAAAAAAAAAAAAA